GAAAATAGTTAAAAGTTTGAATATTAAAACTTCAAATGTAGCTGGACACCAATGGCTCACACCTGTAACCCTAGCTACTCAGGAGGCTGAGATCTGAGGATCGGGGTTCAATGCCAGCCCCGGCGGAAAAGTCCCCGTGAAACTATTCTCTACAATTAACCACTCAAATGCCAGAATTGGTGCTGTGGCTTAAGTGGTAGAGTGCTAGCTTTGAGCACAAAGAGGCTCAGGGAAAGCACCCAGACCCTGAGTTTAAGCCTCACAACTGACCCAAAAAACCCAAACTTCTAAATATCAAGCAAGGGTCTGGTGGGCATGGTGCCTGCATGTCCTTCCCCCTCAACAGTGACGCCAAATGTCCCCCATACTTAGGGCTATGACATGCCTCCCTAATGGGTATGATGTGATGGCCTAGCTCATCCCACTGCCATATCTTCTGAGGATGTCTGCCTTAGACTGGGGGTCAACACACTTTTTCAAGACAAGCTCTCTGCCACCTGAGCCTCTTCTCCAGCCCTAGCAGCAAACTCTTTTTTTGTCCCTACTGTACTAGGAGGCTTGAACTCAGCGCTTTGTTCTGGCTAGCTAATAAATGTTTCTGGCTCTGCAGGTTCTGTTGCAAACATTCAGTTCTGCCATGATGGTGCAGAAGTAGCCATAGATCCTTGTAAACCTAGTGGACACACTGTGTTTAAAAAAATAAGACTAGCTTGGTACAGGTTGTTCATGCTCACCCTCCTAGCTCTGCAGGAGGTGGAGATCTGTGAATCATGGTTTAAAGCCAGCCCAGGCAGAGAAGTCCCCAGCAAAACACCAGAGGTAGAGGCGTGGCTCAAATGGCAGTGTTAACCCCTGGAGTAACTAAATTTAAGGGATGGTGGGCAGGCCCTGGGTTCAAGCCCCAGTACAGACAGACAGACAGACAGACAGACAGACACACACACACACACACACACACACACACACAAAGAGGACTTTCTTAAAAAACAACAACAACAAGCCAGGCACCGGTGGCTCATGCCTGTAACCCCAGCTACTCAGGAGGCTGAGATCTGAGGACCACAATTCAAAGCCAGCCCGGGCAGGAGAGTCCGTGAGACTCTTATCTCTCCAACAAACCACCAGAAAACAGGAAGTGGTGCTGTGGCTCAAGTGGTAGAGTGCTCACCTTGAGCTGAAGAGCTGAGGAACAGTGCCTAGGCCACACCCCCACCCCCACAAAAAGCAGTAGGTTAGATTTGGTCCAAGGGCTCCTAGTTTGCCAAATTTTGCAAATGTTTGATTCTAATTTAAATTGTGGTTAGCTGCTTAGGAAGCTCTAACCCAGATGTACCCATCAAGTGTGTTACCCATTCAAATGTGTCCCAACATTTGTACGAGCAGGAAAGCAACCTATTAGCTGGCTGGGAGGCAAAGATTTCTGAATGGAGTTTCTCTTGTCATTGCCCTGCCTGTGTAGGAGCATGAAAGGATGCCCAGCCTGGCCCCAGCATCACGCTGGAGTCCCAGGGCTGCCACGTACTAGCCAGATAGCTTTCGGTAAGTTGCTTCAGCTCCCTGAACCAAGATGACCAGGACACCATGGGAGTGCGGACACTGACCACAGTGCTGGTGCAGCCTCCAGGGGGCTGGTTTGTAGGAACTCTTCATAGTGAAGAGTCCAGAGCAGCTCAGGTCACCAAGGGACACTCAGGGGGCTCAAGGAAGGGCTACTGACCAGCTTGATAGGGAGGCAATTCAATATTCTGATCATCAGCGTGCTCTGAAGATGCACACCAACTGGGTTATCATTGCAATCCATATTACATCTATCTTGGATAAGACTTGCTTGCTGGGCTGGGAAGGTGGCTCAGTGGTAGAGCATTTGCCTTGCATGCTTGAGGTCCTAGGTTCAATTCCTCAGCACCACATAAGCACAAAAAAAGAGCCAGAAGTGGCACTGTGGCTCAAGTGGTAGAGCGCTAGTCTTGAGCTGAAGAGCTGAAGGACAGCGCCCAGGCCCAGAGTTCAGGCCCCCTGTATAGGCCCCCCACCCCAAAAAAAGACTTTCTTGCTGACTTCTTGTCTTTTTTTGTTCTGGCAAATTCAAGTCGAGTCCCATGACTCTGCTCTGATGTGTGTTGGGGAAGGAACTGTTTGGCAATGCTACTCATCTCAGTGCTTCACAAAACAGAACACCTGGGACTTGGTGTGCTGCTGGGTGTGGGGGAGGGGACCTTTTAGGGGTCCTGTGTTCCAGGACCTGTGGCTCTTTTTCCCAGATAATTCAGTCTGAGGCTGAGCCCCAGGCTGGTGCTCAGCCATCCTTTAAATTTTGGGAGGGCACAATAAACAACCTTCATTGTCAAACTCCTTAGTATGTGAGACCATCAGAAGGCTAGTCTGGCCTGCCCTTAGGACTTTAGTTCAGCCCCTGAAAATTATTCCTCCACCTGACTTGAGATGCTCATTTGTGGCCTCAGTAATAAAATTTGGATCTTCTTTGTCTCTCCATTGCCCAGTCTGTCTACATCAATTAACGGAAACTCCAGTGAAATCCACAGCTTTTACTTCCCCTTATCTTTCTGCTTCTAGCATCATTGTTTCCAACTTCCTGAAAGACTAAGAAGGGGCTGTAGTGTTCATCACTAGGCCCTGGGGGCTATACCTAACAGGACCCAGAATCCCTGGAGTTTATCTTAATTAGGTGACATCTGGTACTATCCCACAGACCACACGTCCTTCCTGGTTGGGCAGCCTAATGCCATCTGTCAACCTGGGCTCTTCAGTCTTTTGTGGCCACTGGCTGTTGAATGCTGGGGGCTTCCCCCAAGGGGGTGACTATGGCCCCAGGGCTTTTGTGAAGTTGAGCCAAGATGGAAGGTGACTGTAAGGCTGAGCTCTCTCTCTTACCTCCCTCTTCAGCTGCTGTTAGGCCGTGCTGCATCTCTGGCCAGGCTTGGAGCACTAATAATAAAAGCAGCTCCAGACCAGGACTTCTGCCCCAAGGCCTCCTCTGTAAACAGAAGAGTCCTGGCTGCAATGGAAATGACCCAATGTAAAAACACCTCCATCCATGTCATGCTGAGTGCAATAATGCCAGTGGCCCCTGAGGAAGCAGCCATGGTGTGTGTCTGCCTCACACTCTTGCCTGATCTCACCCTGCCTCCCCAGCAACGGCCTCTGTGGGCCTTCAATGCGGAGCACAAGCCCAGTTTAGTGCTTCTCCTCTGGCTCAAACTGGTGCTCTCTTCCAGATACTCCTGGCTCTTCTTGTTCTCCTTCTCTGCAACTGCTACCCTATGCCACATGCATGGAACCTGAGCCCAGTCAGACCTGAGGCTGAGTGCCTGGAAGGATAAAGGTTGCAGTTGTCCAGGATGCCCTTCACCACTGTACCTCAAACCTCCTGCTGCCCCCTCTGATGATCTTCACAGCCAGAATCCTTGCAGAGCAGAGCAATCCGTGTGCACACAGGAGTTCGCTCACCCTCTCTTGGTCTTCCAGGGGACCAACCTTTCTTCTGAGAGCTCAGTCAAGGAGGAGGCCGACCATCAGGGAGTGAGAGTGCTCCACAGGGCATGGAGAAGGAGCTGCAGAGGCTCCTGCAAAGGCAAAGGAGTCAGCCAGGCACCAGTGGCTCATACCTAGAATCCTAGCTACTCAGGAGGCTGAGATCTGAGGATTGCCATTCAAAGCCAGCCCAGGTAGGAAATTCCATGAAACTCTTATCTCCAATTAACCACCAGAAAACTGGAAGTGGTGCTGTGGCTCAAGTGGCAGAGTGCTAGCCTTGAGCTGAAGAGCTGAGGGACAGCGCCCAGGCCCAGAGTTCAAGCCCCACAACCAAAAAAAATAAAAAAGGCAAAGGAGTCACTTGTACATCTCAGGGAGGATACCTCATTCCAGGATCCCTTGGGTTGCCTCCCAGTGATTGTTCATTGCTGTCCAGGGTGGCTCTGTCTGGCCTCCTGCTCCCTAATCACAGTGGGACGATTTTGCTGGTGCATATCCAGCTTCTTTCACTCCAAGTTATCACTACCTTGGTACTTTAGTGTCAAATGTCAAGTCAGACTCCTTCAATCAGACCTCATTACCTTCAGCCTAGACAACTCCTCCCTTCAGACACTGCTTTCTCTCCCAGCATTTTTGGGACCACATATACTCTGCCTTCTTCCCACTGATGGAATTGCCTGGACAGATGTAGTAACTGAGGGATTGGCAAGCAAAACAACTAAACTCTGGCCAATGGGCAGCCACTAAACGCTCTTCCAGGGGAAGAGCTTGCAGTGCCCCCCACTGGCTGGTGGAGAATTTGCAAGCAAGTTAAATGACTCCCCTTCCACTTCCCTGAATCACAGGCAGCAGATGGGTCACCTTGTCCAGTGGTTTCCAGTCATGGGAAATTACAGGCAGGGCTGCTGTGGAATGAATACTGTGCGTTTTACCCATCTGGGCTGAGAGGAGGTAAGGGCTGAAATCCAACCTCTGTCCTGTTAACCAAGTTATTGTAACTCAGCATGGGTCTGGGTCAAGACAGAAGGGTTGTCTTCTCATAATTTACTCACCTAGACAAACACTTCCTTCAAAGGGAAACCTTGTACAAACCAAGCTTCTCTGGCTACAGAAGAGCTTAAAAACCCTTCTAGAGGATGGGGAAACTTGGGCTCATGGAGGGGAGGAACTCACACTGAAGGTCATTCAGTTCATGTCAGGGCAGAGCTTAGACACTGGTCCCTCCTCTCTCGTGGTAATTCTTTGTACTACTCAGAGCTCACTTTCATCCCAAGCCCCTCTTGGCATCCTAGATTCTCTCTAACCCGCCCACTCTCAGACCCATCAACATCTCTCTGAAATCCAAGCACCCTATCATGCACAGTTCCACTGGCTAAGCTAGAACCATGGCACAGTGTTTGCCCAGAAGGAGGGACGGTAAGAAGGCTGGCCTAGTCTGCAGAATTTCCCCCAAGAACCTTGCACAGGAAGGGATGATGCCAGACATGCAGAAAGGCAGACAGTGAGGAGCTAGAGGGGTTTGCCAGATGAGGCATCAAAGTATAACAGACAGCCTGGAACAAGGCAGGTCCACTACTGTGCAGCCGGGGGGTGCTTTGTGGGTACAGTCCGCCGGGGTGTCTGTGCCACACCGTAAGGCACGTGGGCGGCTATAGTGCCCATCTCCTGAGCCCCAGCCACATGGAACATCTGGTCATCAAAGAAGATGTGTGGGCGGATCTTTTCAAGGAGGGGTCCTTTGGGTGCTCCAGCTAGGAACAAGGCTTCATCGGTCTCCAGGCCCCAGCTGCGCAGGGTCTTGAGAGCTCGAGCCCCGGAACTGGCTGCACTGCGTGCTGTCACCAAGTAGGTACGAATTGGGCACTCCAGCCGCAGCCCCTTGGAGTAGAATTTCTTCTGCAGCCTACCCAGTGCTTCCAGAAAGCCCTTCAGGGGGCCCTACAAGAAGACAAGTGGACACTGTGAACTTGGCTCTGCCAAACATATGTTCTCCCTCCTGCCAGCATGTGTCCTGCTGTTGGGAGTGCAAAACTTCTCAGGTAGCTCTGCTGTGCCTGCTCTGCGTGCATCCTGGGGCAGTCCAGGGTCTGTTTTTCTGTCATTGGAGCTGCGTCAGAATAACCGTACCAGAGCAACTGTTGCTATGCATACCCACTCATGTCCCCATCTCTGGCAGCTCTTTAAGTGTGGCCTTCTGTGCCCATCAGCGGGGAAAAAAAAAGTAAAATGAGTAACGATGGTATGAGCACCCGCTAATCAGAATGGACTCCAGCTGCAAACATCTGGGACAGATGGGCCAACATATAACTACTGAAGATGAAATTGCCTGTGGATACACAGATGGCTCAGGCTAAAGGTCGCTGGGATTAGGGAAAGGATTTAATCTCACAGCCCTCAACACAATGATGCTCAATGAAAGATGTGTGTGTGTAAAGAGCCAGAGCGGTGATTCAGAAGCCTGTTCTTCCCAAAGCAGCTGCAGAGATGGCAAGATGGGCATCCAGTCTTGGAGACTCCTCCCTCATTAGGGGGTCCAAGAGAGCAATAGCTCCTTAGACCTCTGCTAGCACTGTACTGCCCGTACACATGGATTTTTAGAGAAGGCTCGAATTGGAGTTCCCAGGAGGGTTGAGGAATCCTACTACTCCAGATTGCATGGAATTTCCACCACCAAATTCTAAAACATACTCTGCTCTCAGAGACTTATTTGAGGGCAAGTGAAGATCTCAGACCCCTGACCAAGGCATAGTAGGAGGTGGCCCAATCAAATGGTTTCCCCCAAGCTCCATGCTCAGCTGCACTAGTAGGGTTACTGATTCAGCTCTTCCTCTTGTCTAATGAGGGAAACAGGGTTAGAGGTCCACTCCTAGGGGTGGGGGAGCTCAGAGAGGAGGTGAGGGTTCCAGAGAAAGGGCAATAGCTTCCGAGAGAGAGAAGTGACACTTTCTTGAGAGAGGCAGAGATTTCACACAAGAGGTGGGGACTTAGAGAATGAGGGTTTCAGAGAAGGCTGAAAGAGTCTGAGATGGAGGACAGGGGCTTCAGAAAGGGGATTGAGACCTCGGAAAGGGGACTGGAGGTATAAAAGAGGAGGACAGACTTCAGAGAGGGGCTTAGAGAGACGTTAGAGGCTTCAAGGGGAGACGACTTCAGTGAGATGGGGGTCAGTGAAGGGTACAGGCTCACTCAGGAGAGCCAGGAGCCAGGGGAAGGGGTAAGGATCAGGACTGAGTCCAGGGTTTGGCTGTAGGCTGGGAGTTCAGGTTCAGGGCAGGTTTTGGGGAACCACCTTGTTCTACTCAGGGGTTCTGGGACCATGTAGAGCACCTGGGCCAAAGGCTTGTTCTCGTGGGCTTTCTCATGCTCGAAGAATCTGTCCAGCCCGTGGGCCTTGACAATGCGCTCAGATTCATCGGAGAAGAGCACAGCATCCCCGTCGAAGGCTACGCGTAGCTGACTCTGGGACACAACCACATCCCTGCTGGGGCTGAAGATGGTGGCAGCTGCAATCCCTGGGCAGAGAGAGGCAAGAATTGTCTGCCTTCAGGCCACACAGTGGGTGCTCTGCCTGGGTACCAGAGAGGACTATCTCAGGTGGCCCTTGTCTTGTCTGAGATGATGGCTATCACCCGAAACGCCCTTGACAAGGGCACATGGAAGGGATTTTACGTCACCAGCCAGGTCTCCTAACTCACCTCAGTGCTGGCCAGCCCACCTGTTGAAGACACTGGACATTCCTCAGAGGTCATCTCTCAGGCTGGGCTGGATATGGATCCTCTTCTCCACTGGCCCAAAGAGGGCAGAGGCTGCCCAAGGTCACATGGGAATCAGAATTCCTAATTATGACAAGTACCCTCTTTTCCTTGCTTTTCAATAACATATTTTGACAAGCCTCACAATTTTTTCCTTTTCTTTTCTTCCTTCTTTCTTTCTCTCCTTCCTTTCCTCCATCCTTCCCTCCTTCCTTTCTTTGTTTTATATATTTATTTTATTTTATTTTTATCAGTCCTGAGGCTTGAACTCCGGGGCTTGAACTCTGGGCCTGGGCGCTGTCCCTGAGCTCTTCAACTCAAGGCTAGTGCTCTACCACTTTGAACCACAGAGCCACTTCCACTTTTCTGGTGATTAATTGGAGAGATGAGTCTCACGGACTTTCTTGCCTGGGCTGGCTTTGAACTGGGATCCTCAGCTCTCACCCTCCCGAGTAGCTAGGATTACAGGTGTGAGCCACCAGCCCACGGCTTGCTTCTTCCTTCCTTCATTCCTTCCTTCCTTCCTTCCTTCCTTTCTTCCTTCCTTCCTTTCTCTTTCTTTCTTTCTCTCTCTCTCTCTTTTTTTTTTTTGCTTGCTTGCTTGCTTTCTGTGCTGAATCAGGGGCTCATGCTTTCACTTGGCTTTTTCACTCCAGTCTGATGCCCTACCACTTGAGCCACAGCTCCAGAATCTCATAGAGTGTCTAGTACTGGTGGCTCACATCTGTAATCCTAATTATTCAGAAGGCTGAGATTGGGCTGGGAAGGTGGCTCAGTGGTAGAGTGCTTGCCTTGCATGCATGAGGCCCTGGGTTCCATTCTTCAGTGCCACATAAGCAGAAAAAGCCAGAAGTGGTGCTATGGCTCGAATGGTAGAACACTAGCCTTGAGCTGAAGAGGTGAGGAACAGTGCCCAGTCCCAGAGTTCAGGCCCCTTGACTGGCCAAAAACAACAACAACAAAAAAAAAACACACAGAGAAGGCTGAGATCTGAGGATCAGGGTCAAAGCCAGCATGGGCAGGAAAGTCTGTGAGTCTCTTATCTCCAATTATCCACTGAAAAACCTTAAGTGGAGCTATGGCTCAAACTAACCTTGAGTAGAAATGCTCAAGGGCAGTGCCCAGGCCCTGAGTTCAAGCCCCAGAACCAAACCAACCAACCAAAGAACCATGCTTCCAGGCACTGGTGGCTCACACCTGTAATCCTAGCTACTTAGGAGGCTGAGAGCTGAGGATTGAAGTTTGATGCCATTCCAGGCAGAAAAGTCCATGAGACTTTTATCTCCAATTAACCACCAGAAAACTGGAAGTGGCGCTGTGGCTCAAAGTGGTAGAGTGCTAGCCTTGAGTGAAAGATCTCAGGGACAGTGATGGGCTCTGAGTTCAAGCCTCATGTCAATCAAAACCAAAACCAAAAAAATCTCACAGATTTTGCTGCCTGGGCTAGCTTCCGACTTTGATATTTCAGATCTTGGCCTCCTCAGGATTACAAGTGTGACATACCATACCTGGCACAATGATTTTCTTATCATGATCAAGCTTTTCCTTACCAATACTGAGATAGATGATGCACAACTGGACCAAACCTCTGACCATCTCTGATCACTGGTCACATCTGTGACCAGGACTGTTTAATAGTTATGCATAGTTTCATCCTTTGCCCCTATTTTCCCTCTATTTAAATCTAAAGCTCATGTCTGTATCTTGAAGATGAGCTGAAATGATTACTTTCCCTCTCCCTTCAATGCCATGTAATAAATAGATCTGCTTTCTCTGTCTTTCACTGCTTCTTGTGTCTTTATTTGGTGAATTTCAGCAAGCGGCTAGACCTGACATGTGGAGCCCCTGGAGTTGGGCTGTGGCCTAGAACTCCTGGTTACATTCTACCTGGGAGAATCTTAGAAAACAGTAACTTTCTAGGCTGTAAAGTGAGTTCCCATGGAAACAGAAGTCTGGGTGATGCTGATGAACAAATATATCCTTAACACAGAAGGGCAGGAGGTAGGAAAATGGACTAGGTAGGGCCTTGTTTTCAGTTTATAAGACAGATCATAGGAACTATCCAGAGCTTCCCATCCTATGACCTTGACAACCCCCAGCAACCGTTGAGAGCTTCAGGACTTGTACTCTTACCTGTGGGACTCCTTGCTGGACTTCCTGTGTTCGTTCTCCTCACTGTGACTTACCCTCATCAATGGCTTCTCGCACTTTTTCTGCATCGGCTGACAAGTAGAGGTTGGTGTGGTAGGCCTTGAGGTAGCAGATGGGGCTGTTTCCACCTGTCATACAGAACCTCTCGATGAACAGGTCTGGGAAGGAGGTCGAAAGTACTCAGGTGAGGCCAGGGTCAACCTGCAGAACAGGCTCTCTACGCCTATCAAGTGCCATCTCAGATCTGAGTGGTGATGGAGGAAGCCGGTGAGTCTGTGACTTTAGGTCAGCATTCCCCCTCTTGCCCCCTCCATTCTTCATCATAGCATAGTCATGATCACAGCTCTAGAGAAATTGCTTGTCTCACTGTCAGCCCTTTTCTTCAGGGGATCACAATACAATAAAAGGTAGGTTTTCCAGCTAGAGACCCCACCCTTGTGGCCATAGCTAATTGGAAAGGGGCACATTCTGACCTAGCTGAGCCAACCAGATTCTTCCTGCATCTAGGAAAACACTTAGTAAGTTCTCATGGCTGCATAGTTGGTAAAAAATAGTTACTGGTCGGTAAGTGCTGTTGTCCTGAGCCAGAGGAGTTACCTGTAAAGGCCCCAGCCCCTTACATGCAGTACCCTTGTCCTCAATGCCACAACCAAAGTGGGTAATGTCTGGCCCCACCGGATCCTGCTCCAGCACTACACCTGGCATTTTGTCCTGATTGCTCAGTACCCATCAAGCAGGTGGTTAAATATTGTTAATATCACCCTTGCACCCAGCCACTTGAAATCAGTATTTTAAGATGCCACCTGGGAGCTGGGGGTGTAACTCAGGGGTATAACATATACTTATAAGGCAGTGTGAAGCCCTAGTTTCAATCCCCAGTACCCAAAATAAATAAAATAAAATAAAGCCAGCTGGCCTTTCATAGTTGCTTAAAACAAGGTCTTGTAAACCTATAAAGATAGATTTTTACTTATTTCTCTCTCTCTTTCTCTCTCCCTCTCCATCACCCTCTCTCTCCTCAAACTGGATCTCTCTGATTTTATGAGTATACAAACAAGAAAAGCAGACAGATCCAGTTCAGAGGGTGGGAGGAAGGGAGGGAGGGAGACAGGCAGGATTGAGTAAGGTCCCATAGGGTCCACAGTGAAAGAAAAAGGAGATTTTCAATACTTGGATTCAGGATTTTGTCCTGAATTTGTCCTGTACAATTTTACTTCTCCCCCTGGGATTCTGAGCCACCCTGGAATGTAAAAAAGAAATCCTTCATCATAGGCTAGGCTCTGTAGGATCTAATACTTTCTGTTTGGAGAAGACACAGAACCCACTGATTCTGACCACTGCTCCTGAGACTTCCAGCAATCTTATGAGAACTGTTATCTCCACTATAGTTTGAGAAACTGAGGCATCAAGGCAGTAAATGTCCTGCCTAGTCATATGATAAGTGGGGCCTATGTGGTCAGGATCTGGTTTGTGCCAGCTTGTAAGAGCTAGAGGTTAAAGATTCAAAAATTCGGCGAGCCAGTTATGTTGTTCAATCATTAGTAGTTTGAAATCAGTAGGAATTTTTCTATCCTGAAAACTGGTAAAACTTAAAATGAGAGTTTTGCTTGGTTTTATTTTCTTTTTCTTTTTTTCTTTCTTTCTTTTTTTTTTTTTTTTTTGTTTGCCAATACCTGGGGCTTAAACTCAGGGCCTGATCACTGTCCCTGAGCACTTTTTTTTTTTTTTGCCAGTCTTGGGGCTTGAACTCAGGGGCTAGGCACTGTCCCTGAGCTTCTTTTGCTTAAGACTAGCACTCTACCACTTGATCCTTAGCACCACTTTGGCTTTTTCTGTTTATGCGGTACTGAGGAATAGAACCCAGGGCTTCATGCATGCTACACCAGCGCTCTACCATGAAGCCACATTCCCAGCCCCCTGAGCTTATTTTTGCTTAAGGCTAGTACTGCACTACTTGGGCCACAGCTTCACTTCTAACCTTTTGGTACTTAATCAGAGACAAGAGTCTCACACTTTCCTGCCAGGGCTGGCTTTGCATGGCCATCCTCAGACCTCAGCCTCCCTAGTAGCTAGGAGTACAGGTGTGAGCTATTGGTTTGTTTTCTTAAAGCACTAACCTTCCCCACCCCCCACCCCCAAAGCTTATCAGTGGTCCATACAACCTGACCCTTCAGGGGTGTGGCCTGTGTCCCAGGATTGTTGTAACAGCATCCTGTGGGCAGATGTCTCCTGCTCACCATAATGGTTGATACTGTTGATGAGACGGACTCCCACTTGAGCATGGTTGTTGGTCATGAGGACGATGTCAAAGATGTCCTCACTATCAGGGTACAGCTCCCGAAGCTTCTTGTTCACAGCCTCCAAGGCCTGGAAAGGAGAGGGCACCCTTCAGCTCAGATCCCCAAGAGTGGATTTCAGGAGTTGGCGGCCCCAGATCCAATAGGGGAGGGAAGAGGAGATGGAGGCAGGGCATGAGATACATGCACACAGACTTCCTCCGGAGTTCTGCTCCTCCAACCTGTGGGTGGGTCCTTGTTGACAGGGGGGTGTGCCCTTGCTCAGGGGACCACTAAAGTGGTGAGCAGGGGTTCTTCCCCAGGCTGCATCAGTCCAAAGGCCTCTTCTTCCCACAAAGATTATTCCCCCCAGTCAAGCCCTTGCTTCTGCTTGGGGTTCGGGGGAGGGTGGGGGAAGAAGGGATCTCCTTACTCAGGCATCCAAAGGCATTGTGTGGGCTGCTTCTGGACATATCTGCTCACCTTCACGAAGGGGAAGGCAGGCCCAGGACTAAAAGGCTCATTCTCATGTTCCAGTTGGTAGCGCACATACTCCTCCACGCCCTGCTCCGTATAGATCCGCTGCTCTTCATCCATGCGGAACAGGGCTCGGGAGGACACAGCAATGGTGACTGCATTCTGAGGCTTGGGCTGCAGAGGGACAGTAGGAGGGACTGTCACTGAGACCCTACCCTAGGGCAGCTACTCCTGTGCAAGCCCCTCTGGGAGATGGGAATGTGGACCCAGCCTCTCTGCCTCAAAGGTTCTTCCTTGGGCAGAAGGAAACTTAAGGCAGGACCTAGTCATGGAGGACCCAGCTGGGGACTCAGATAGAGGATGGCTTCTCCACTCAGGAGTGGGAGGTGAAGGAGGACCATGCCCTCGGGGAATGTACAGTTTAGTTGGCCATCTGGACATAACAGGAAAATGAATACAATGTATGAGGACAGCATATGACTGATGTGATGCATGATAGGGTCTCCAGATGGTTTCCATTATGAAATGAGAGCTCCCTGCCTGTAGGAAGAAAGCGGTCTTCAGGAACATGGAAATTGCATAAGGAAATCTATCTCCAGCCCAGATCTGTCTCCTGAGCGCCAGACATGCATATCTAACTGCCCGAGTCACACCAACAGACACTCCAGCTTTACAGAGCTGGAGGCTGTATTCCCACCATTTTCTTTACTCCCAAGTTCCCTCTCTGCTCCCTTCCCTGATCTCGGTGCTCAGCACCCACCATCCACTTACCCACAGCCCCACTAGCTGAGACCACAGCACCACTATCTCTCCAAGCAGAAGCCTTGGAAGCCAACCTCAACTCCTCCCCCTTCCTCAGCTTCCTTCCCCATCAATCCATCACCCAGACCAGCCAGTCCTATTAGAACCCAGGCAACCAGCACCTCTTGCCCTCCTCCATGATCACCCAGGCAGGTGTGATTAAGGCCTACCTCTCCACTGGTGGTCAGCCTTTAATATGAGCATGACACATTATCTCTTACACTCCAGCTTTCCCCTCCCCTCTCTCACACCTGTACACACTTATGTCCCCACAATGGCCCTCTTGCCTAATACCCTGTTTTCCATACTTTCTGGCCAGCTACTCAACTTTCAGGCTTCAATTTAGATGATCACCTCAAGGAAAACTGCACTCATCCTAGTCTACCCCATTTGATACCTTTTCCCTGAATTTCCTTCTTAATATAACTCAATAGTAAATTATAATAGATTATTTAATTTCTCTTCCTAGGCAGAATTCTAGGAAGGCAGTAGCACCATGCTTGTGTGTGTGTGTGTGTGTGTGTGTGTGTGTGTGTGTGTGTGTGTGTTAGTACAAGGGATTAAAATCAAGGCCTCATACTCTTGCTTGGCTTTTTTGCTTAAAGCTGGCACTCTACTACTTGAGTCATACTTCCATTCCAGCATTTTGCTGGCTAATTAGAGCTGAGAATCTAATTTTTTTCTGCCCAAGCTAGCTTTGAATCATGATCCTCAGCTTTCAGCCTCTTGAGTAGCTAAGATTGCAGGCATGAACCACCAGTACCCAACTCGAAAAAAATTTTTATTGTCAAGGTGATACACAAAGGAGTTACAGTTAACATATGTAAGGTAGTGAGTACATTTCTTGTGGAACTTGTTACCCCCCCTCATTTTTCTCCCACTTATCAATGTACTTTTTTTGTTGTTGGTCATGGAACTCAAGGCCTGTCCTAGAGCTCTTTTGCTCAAGGCTAATGCTCTACCATTTTGAGCCACAGCTCCACTTCTGGTTTTCTGGTGGTTAATTGGAGATAAGTGTCCCATGGACTTTCCTGTACCTCGATCCTCAGCTCTCAGCCTCCTGAATAGCTAGGATTATAGGCATGAGCCACCCGTGCCTGGCTCATTTACTGGTTCTTTGTGCCAGATACCTTGGCTCTACTAAGGAGCAGTAGAGACCTGGTAGAGACCTGGCTCTTGACCTCCATGCTCAGTCTCATATAGATGGGCGGGGAAGAATGACAAGCAGAGAACTCAGAGGCAAAAGGTAGGGAAGAGAATGAGATAGAACAAGGCAGAAACAGCTGGGCTTCAGGAGAAGTTTTCAGGGGAGAGAAGGGGGAGGAAAAAGGCCTGGGGAGATGAAGAAACATAAAGGCATTCCAAAGGCTAGCAGCGGCCAGAGCATATGGGGAGTCTAGAGGGGAGGCCTGTGCTAGGTTGCAAGGGGCCCTCAGGGACCCCAAAGGAGCTGTAGGGCTCATTTCCCATTGTTCCATCGGAGTATTTATATCTCTCTAAAATTCTTGTCTTTCTTTCTTCTTTTGTGCCAGTTCTATAGCTCAAACTCTGGACCAAGGCACTGTACCTGAGCTTTTTCACTCAAGGCTGGCACTCTACCACTGGAGCCACACCTCTTCTTCTGGCTTTTGGTGGTTACCTGGAGATAAGAGTCTCACAGATTTTGCCTGGCTTCAAACTGTGATCCTCAGATCTCAGTCTCCTAAGTAGCTAGGATTACAGATGTAAACCACTACCCATCAGCCAAGATTAGTGTGTATGTGTTTGTGTGTGTGTGTGTGTATGTTTTAGAAGAGACATGAGAGAGCCTGTCTTGCCTATTCTAGCACATGAGGACAAAGTTAGAAGGCGCCATCTTTGAACCAGAAAGAGTTTCCTCTTCACCAGACACCAATCTACTGGTACCTTAGTCTTCCAGCCTCCAGAATTATGAGAAATAAATTTCTATCACCTTCAATATGTCACCCATTCTAAGTCACTGTGTTATAGCAGCCTCTAAATGGACTGAGACAGCACCTTGGATAGAGCAGGAAAGGAGAATGCCAGCATGGATAGCAGCTAGGCTCTTCCTAATTCTTGAAGAGGATCAGAGTGGGGTGTGTAAGGGGCTCCTGGTCTCCAGGAGAGTCCCACTGCATCTGTGATCTGGATAGACCTAAGATTATGATCCTCACTTTTTTTTTTGTCAGTCGTGGGGCTTGAACTCTGGGCGTGGACACTGTCCCTCAGCTCTTCCACTCAAGGCTAGCACTTTCCCACTTGAGCCACAGCACCACTTCCGGTTTTCTGGTGGTTTATTGGAAATAAGAGTCTCATGGACTTTCCTTCCCAGGCTGGTTTTGAACCATGATCCTCAGATCTCAGCCTCCTAAGTAGCTAGGATTATAGGCCACTGGCACCTGGCTGATCCCCACTTTTTAGATAAGGACAGAGACACTTAAAGTGAGGTCAAAACTTGTAATCAGGGGTTGGGAATGTGGTTTAGTGGTAGAGTGTTTGCCTAGCATGCATGAAGCCCTGAGTTCGATTCCTCAGTACCACATAAACAGAAACTGTGGCTCAAGTGCTAGCATGAGCAAAAGAAACTCAGGGACAGTGCCCAGGCTCTGAGGTCAAGCCATAGGACTAGCAAAACAAAACCAAAAACAAAACTTGTAACCAAACTAGGCACCGGTGGCTCATGCCTGTAATCCAAATCATGAGGCTGAAATCTGAAGATCATAGTTTTAAGCTAGCATGGGCAGAAAAGTTCCCATGAAACTCTTATCTCCAATTAACCACTCAAAAACTGGAAGTGGTGCTGTGGCTTAAGTGGTAGAGCTCTAGCCTTGAGCTTAAGAGGCTCAGGGACAGTGCCCAGGTACTGAGTTCAAGCCCTACAACTGACAAAAAAAAAACCACAAAAACAAACACAAAACCACCTTATAACTGCCTTCTTCCACCAGTCCTGAGGGCCATGTGCTCAACCCCACTTATTTCTGGGGTCAAGGCTAGGGCTCCAACCAGTTGACAGCATTGATAAGACACTTGGCTAGGGACATGGCAGGAAACAGTACAAGTATGATCCCTGACCTCAGGGAGCTAATGACCCATGGGCAAGGCAGAGATTCAGACCATCCTCTAAAAGAGCATGGTCCAGGGCAATGTTCTGTGATAATGGAAATATTCCAGGATCTGTGGGGGACTCTGGAACACCTCGAAATGTGGTGGGTGAGACTGAAGACCTGATGTTTATTTCATTTTACAGGAGTTGTGGCTAGTCCTGTGGCTTTTCAACCTTAAAACAGGAATGGAAAATCAAAGAATTCCAAAAATCCTATGGCTGACCTCAGTTTGCTTGTAGCTACTCACCCCCCCCCATTTCCTGGAGTTTATTTCGATAAATATTATTTTATATGATCAGATGCACATAGCATTGTGCCTTTGTGTTCCTCTCCTACAAGTATCTTCCTTTGGTCTCACTGTGTGTGAATGCCTTGGTATATTTTAGAGCTAACTTCCAAATGTGAGAGAAAACATGCACCATTTGTTTCTCTGAACTTGGCTTACCTCACTTAACATGATTTGTTCAAGGTCCTTCCATTTCCCTGCAAAGGACATATTATTCTTTCTAATGGCTATGTACAATGCCTTTGACTTTTTAAATTTTTTTTGTTGGTCATGGGGTTTGAATGCTGGGCTTGGGAGCTATCCCTCAGCTCTTCAGCTCAAGGTAAGCACTTTACCACTTGACCCACAGCGCCACGTCCAGTTTTTGGTGGTTTATTGCAGATAAGCGTCTCACAGTCACACCTGTAATCTTAGCTACTGAGGAGGCTGAGATCTGAGGATTATGGTTCAAAGCCAGTCTAGGCAAGAAAGTCCATGAGACTCTTACCTCCAATAAAACACCAGAAGCGGCACTGTGGCTCACCTTGAGCCGAAGAACTGAGGGACAGCACCCAGGCCCAGAGTTCAAGCCCCACAACTGACTTAAAAAAAAGTCTCATGGACTTTCCTGCCTGAGCTGGCTTTGAACCATGATCCTCAGATCTCAGCCTCCTGAGTAGTTAGGATGACAGGCGTGAGCCACCAGCACCCAGGGCCTTTGACTTTTAACCCCAACCCAGATGTGTATATCCAGCAGGGTCAATGGGAGGCGGGAGCAGGTGCTCCTCCTTAAAGGCTCAGTCCCAAGCCTCGATTAGTGACTGACTCCTTGAGTTGGGCACCTCCTAATCCCACCAGCACCTGGGAGCCTTCAAACAAAGAGGCTGAAGTCAAAAGCCCTAAAAAAAAGAGGTGAAGCTGGGCACTAGTGGCTCACACTTTAACCCTACTTCTTCAGGAGGCTAAGATCTGAACATCAAGGTTCAGAGCCAGCCCAAACTGACAAATCCAAGAGATGCTTTTTTTTTTTTTTGCCGGTTGTGGGGTCTGAACACTGTTCCTCAGCTCTTCAGCTCAAGGCTAGTGCCCTACCACTTGAGCCACAGCACCACTTCTGGCTTTTTCTGCTTGTGTGGTACTGAGGAATCAAACCCAGAGCCTCATGCATGCAAGGCAAGCACTCTACCACTGAGCCACCTTCCCAGCCCCAAGAGATTCTTATCTCTGATTAAACCAGCAAAAAGACAGAACTGGAGGCATGGACCAAGTGTTAGAGCACCAGCCATGAACAAAAACGTGAGTGACAGTGCGAGGCCCTGAGTTCGAGCCCCAAGACTGGCACACAGAAAGTGTATATGTGGGGTGATGAAGCAAAGGCAAAGATGGCAAGGGTAGGGTTAGAGGAGGTGGGGAAACCCAGAAAGCATTCTGCTTTAGCCCAGGGAACCTTTATTTACTTCTCTTAAGAAAGGAGAAATAATTCCCCCAGAGAGGGGCAGGACATTACTCTAGGACACACAGAAAAGTCAAGAGTCAAGATGGATTCTAGTGTTACCCTTACTCATGTAGCAGTCCTCTTCAATAGCTTTTAGAAGATGCCAACCTCTTTTAGTGCTGAAGAAGGTACATCCAGCATACCTTCTTTAGCCTCCTATTCCCGAGTTGGGAGAACTGATGTGAGACAATAAAGCCCTCAGACTGCAGTGTCTGGACACCGACACAAAGCCTCAGAATGGAGGCTTCAGGGGGAGGACCCTGCCTCTGCTCTGACAGTACCAATGAGGTGGAATGGGTGAGGCTAGAAAGCACGAGCAGCTGTAGGAAATGAGGGTTCCAGCTGAGGAAGATAAAAAGCTGTGCATGCAGGCTCCAGGCAGATCTGGAGGAAGAAGTGGAGAGGTCTGCCCAGAGTGTGCTTAGAAACCTTCCTGTGCCTGGCCGGGTCCCTCACACAGGGATGTATTGTAAGATGCACCGAAATCACAAAGATGCCAGATCCCACACCAAGAATTGGGTCAAAGCAACCCAGGGGCTCAGCCTGGGAGCACTGGACTATGCGAGCTAGGGTCCTCCCAGCACTCTGCTTTCCCTAAGGCCAAGGTACAGGCTTATCACTCTGGCCTGGCCCCACACAGCCTGCCTGAAGAGTTCCTGTTTAAGTCAACATGATTCTGCCTATTGCAACCAAGACAGGAACATAACAGCAGCAGCAGCAGCAGCAACAACAAAAAGCTGTCATTTGTCATTTCAGCAAGGAGGGAGGAGGGGAAGCAGAGAGAGAGAGAGAGAGAGAGAGAGAGAGAGAGAGCTGCTGAGGGAGGGGGAAGCTCTGATGGAGGAAGTTGTCTGACCCCAGGAGGTGAAGACCTCTGATGGGCCTTCCTTGGCTTAAACATTTCACTCAGCATCCTGGGAATGAGCAGAAGCCCAGGCTAGGCCCTGATAGGGCCCATGAGGCCTAAAGCCCCCAAAATAGCCTGTGGGAAGAGGGGCTACTGCAGGAAGGACTAGAAGCTGGGAAGCCTCCAGGTTCCTTGCCTTCTAGAGATTCATGAGGGTCAAGGACTGACCAAGGGATCATGACTAACCATGGGGCCTGAGCTCCCCAGTTCCTTGGTATCTGGAGAGGAAATGGAAGCATTCACTGCGCCAGTCTCCAATTACCCCTCTTCTCTCAAGCCACAATCTAGTCTCTACTTCTCACTGATATACACATTCCCAGATCCACCTTTTCCCATCTACCTCCCAACAGCCCCGAATGCTCTTTCTAGAATGAAAACGGGACCAAGTTAATCCCTGCTGAAAAATCCTTCCATAGCTCCAATAATGGTTTTCAGATTTTAGAAAGTTGGTTGACCTTTTATTCAAATGAACTCTTAGGCAGAACTTCAATATGTAATACAAACCAGATATTGCCACATATAACCGGTACCAGTCTGTCATTACAAATTCAAATGCTTTCTATATGTAAATGTATTTATTACAAAGTCAAATAATGAAAACAACACAGGTGTTTCCATAACAACATATTTGAAGTCAGAGGTTAGAATCTGGGGAGATCTAGGCTCAGCCTCCAATTTGATTGGTGGTATAGTACTAAGAATGGCCTATTCCCACTAAGTGCTTATAAATGAGAAGAGACGTTTTTGTTTTCATTTTGTTTTGCTTTGTTTCAACTTATAGTCCTTGCAATCTCAAGATTCTCTTATTAAAAACAGACCACAGGAAAAAGTTTATTCTAAGGTTTACTTCTTTTTAAAAAGTTTTTAATAATCAACCCACAGCACAAGTGAATATGTCAGTGGTCTTCCAAGGTGCTGAAATGTCCAAAAGGCACATTTAACGGAATTGGGTTTTTTAGTTTTGCCTTTTTTTTTAATTTTTAAATTTATTTTTTATTGATGGTCATGGGATTTGAACTCTGGGCCTGGGCACTGTCCCTGAGCAATTCAGCTCAAGGCTAGCACTCTACCACTTGAGACACAGTGCAAGTTCCAGTTTCCTGGTGGTTTATTGGAGATAAGAGTTTGGGTCCTTTCCTGCCTGGGCTGGCTTTGAATCATGATCCTCAGATCTCAGCCTACTGAGTAGTTAGAATTACAGGCATGAGCCACTGGCACCCGGCTTTGTTTTACTTTATTTTTTGTTTGGTTTGGTAGTACATGAGTTTAAACTCAGGCAGGTGTTCTACCACTTTAACCATGCCTCCAGAGTTTGTTTTATACTTGTTAGGCAGGTGTTCTACCACTTTAATCATGCCTCCAGAGTTTGTTTTATAGCCAAGGTCTTGAGTTTTTCTCCAGGTTGGCTTCAAACTACAATCCTCCCACTTTTGCCTTACCAGTAGCTGGGATTACAGGTTGGATTTTATTACACATTTTCAATCGGTTAAAGTATAGTTTGAAGAAGAAAATAAATGTGATTCACATGTCCATAGATTTGCCAAAACACTGGGCTCCACAGAACCTAATCTGAAAGTTTCAGTCCCCCTTAATAAGGTCCTGGCACCTTACCAAGGCACTCATGGCTGTCCATGAGACGCCAGACCCCCACATAACCCACCCATCTCCAGAACTACTTCTGTTGACCTCCAGGTGTAAACTTGTGAGAGTGGGCACAGTTTGGTTAGTTTGGCAATCCCCACTGACCAGCGGAGGCGGGGAGGTAGCCAATGAGAGGCTGCTGGCAGAGCGGGCCTCCTAGGGACCCACGTGACTTGGGAGAAAAGCAGCCGGATGCTTTAGGGTCACACTGGAAGTCTATGGAAGGTGCCTCTGTCCCTTTCCAGGATCTGAGCTCTGGGACGCTGGAATGGACAAGGCTAAGGGGCAAACCAGGGCCCCATGAAGGACGCACAAAAGTTCTTTCCCCAGCGTAACGCCACCATGGAGTCACAGGGGTGCTAATGTCCACTGAGGGGAGAGCAGACAGAGCTCGGATCTGGGGTGCACAGGCTAATATTGGGTGCCCAGAACCAGAGGGGATGCACTCAGGCCGCAGGGGGCCCAGCCAGAGTCTGAACTCAGAGAGGCTAGAGGCTAGAACCCGGTGTCCCGATCGTGGAGCCCGGGCGCCACGCGAGGCGCTGGGTTTCCAAGAGTCGGGGCCACAGAGCAGCTTTGCCAAGCGCTGTGCGCGCCCCGGTGCCCGCCTGGCCTCGGGACGGGCTGGGGCCTGCGGACAGCACGGGGGAGGGGGGATGCTGGCATGGAACCCGAGCCCCAGGAAAAAAAACAAAAAACAAAACACCAGCAGCACCAGAGCCCAGCTCCCAAAATAAACCCGCGCCCGGGCCAACGCCGGGTGCATGCTGGGGCTGAGCGCTGCGTCCTCTCCAGGAGGGCCACCATGGGTCCCCTTCCCAAGGGGTTTGCGCCCCCCCACTTCCTGAGAGTGACCCCCCCATCCCTCCCCCAATCCCTATGCCGGACTTTTTACCGATTTGGGTTTCTTCTTGGGTGTAAGGTTGTCGTAGAAAGTCTTGGCCTCCTCCCAGCGAGGCGTCGGGGTGGTCTCTGCCCCTGGCCCGGGTTCCCGGACCTCCCGGGGCTCCCCGGGTTCCATGCTCCTCCGGTGCTGACCCAGTCCTGGCCAGATGGAAGCGCGGTGGAGACGCCGAGCTCGCGGAGCCGGGCTG